GTTTGTTTGTCTGCTAATTCTACCTACTCTCCCTGGCAGATATCACATGATCAATGCCTTAACCTTGGTCATAAGAACATATGCTGGAGTAGTGCAGAGCTTTCAATATTACAGAACAGTAACCTTTTTTTGTCCTCCCACTATCATTTAATTACAGTATAGAAAGTAGGTATATTAACGTCTTCCCATTTATATAGATTGGACCAGCTTTACAAAAAAAAAAAAAATCATCTCTAATTCTCACCAAGCAGTAAACGGATTACAGCACAGCACAAAAGCTTTACAATGAAAGCCCAAGTTCGGTAAATTATGATCCCCAGGCTCCACCTACCCACAGTTGCTCTCTTCAAGGAAGTGGTGGTGGAGCAAGGCTACCTTGGCACATCAACATCATTCTACATGGCTGTTCTCATGCCCACACAATTTACATTCCTCTTAAATTTGGTAACCAAGAAACCCGACCGCAGTGAAAAAGTCACCACGGCCTTGCAGAATTCAGTCCTGGGGGGTCGGCTGCAATGAATAGCTGTCAGAAGAGCAATGGCTTAAATGGAACAGTGAGTACAGAGCATTAAGGCATGTTCCGGGTTACAGAAGAATGTCTCATGCAGCCAATTCTCTGGAGAGCAGCCGACTGGCAGCCACACAAAAGAGAACGAGAGGGGAGAAGTCATACAATGTTACCGTGACTCAATCTCTGCTCCAACTACCGCAAGTCTAACCAAGTGTGTTCCTGTTTACACAACTTTAAACTTATGTGTGAAATCTCTCGCTGGAGGAGGACCTGGACCTTCGAGGTGTCAATGTGCTCTCCAGAATAATTCATTATTACATTTACAGTAAACAGGATACTGACTCACAAGGCTAATCAATACATTCAGTATCAGGGGCGGACTGACCATTTGGAAACTCGGGCACTGCCTTATGGCCCGGGGTCAGTAGGGGGCCCCATGAGATGCCCCTGGTACCTTTTTTATAGGCTTTTTTTTTGAGTTTGGGCAATGACACAGGGGCCCCATGATCCCCTATTGCCCGGGGGCCCCATGAGTTGTCAGTCCGCCTCTGGTCAGTATTAAAGTAGGTGTAAACTCTGAATGACGGTTTGCTCTAGCACTGTGTGTCAAACAGTCACCATTTTTTAATAAAAGCGGTTTCCCTTTTTTTCATCCTTGGTTGCATCTTAGTGCTGCTGACGGCCACATGACATTTCTTCAGCCGGCCACAGATGGATTGCATCTCGGCTGGTTCAACAGGGACCAGCTGAGATTCAATCCATCTATGGGCAGGCTGGTTTACTGAAGTCAATCCATTGACAGACTTCAGTACAACCAGCCTGTCAGAATTTTTTTTTCTATAATACATTTTTATTTGGTTTTACAAATATAGTTACAACAAAAAAAAAAACAAATAGGACAGTGAAAAGCTACACAATATCACAGTATAGTTGCTGCGTTAAAGTTTAACAAAGAGAAAAAAAGGAAATATTGAATAATTCCTAACAATCCTACTATTTCCACAAAAGAATGATTTTAGAGTATCCAAAAAAAAGGTTAAACATAATAATATCTTAGGTTACAGTTCTGAACCAGTCGGACCGGGGTTTCCAAGCTTTGTCAAATTTGGTAATGCTGTCGTTTAGCGAAGCTAAAGATTTCTCATAGATGAAGTGGGTCTGGACTAGCTCAATGACTTCTTTTAGAGAAGGGGCTAAGTCTTTTTTCCAGTGTATAGTAATGGTAAGTCTTGATGCTAGAAGAATGTGTCACTAAGAGTTGATAATGGATTGGATATGTATCTATATTTATATTCAAAATATCTACGGTAGGATCAGGTTGTTTTAATATCTCAGTCATTTCCGATATTATGTAGAAAACTTTATACCAATAGCTTCTAATATGTCCGTAATATATGTAATAGAGCACCAATCTGACCACAGTTTGTCCAGCATTGAGGACTCTGTTGTTCTGAGAATTTGGTCATTTGGTAAGGAGTTAGATACCATCTTGTGGAAATGTTGTGCGTTAGCTCCCAAAGGCTAACACATCTAGTAGCTGAAAACACATTCCTGAATGCGCATTCCCACTGCTCAGAGATTTCAGTCTCTAGGTCTTTTCCCACTTGATTACGGGAGCAGTCTTGTTAAATTCTGATTTACATTGTAGGTGGTTATAAAATAGGGTGATACCACCTGATTTAGGAGTAGCGGAGCTATAGAACTGTAAAGATACTTTGGGTATATATATTGGTTTTACTGGATGTTTCGACTGGCAACCACTGATGCGTGTATAGGTTGATTTTTCAGAGAGAGGAGGTTAAATTCTTTCATAAGGAATTCTAAATTTTTTATGTCGTTTTTAACACAAAAATCTTGTATTGTGCGTATGCCATTATGTTTCCAATTTGAGATATCTATGCTAGGCATTTACCTCTGTCAGACTTTTTTATGTAATCAGTGGGGTGTTATCAGTGCGGAAGATTAATTGAAACTGGAGAGTGCAATATCTGGTGCAGGTGTGCATGGTAACCAATCAGTTTCTAACTTTAGCACAGTGGCTAAATGGTTAGCACATCCACCTGGCAGTACTAGGGTCGTCGGTTCGAATCCCAACCATGGCACCACCTGCCTGGAGTTTGCATGTTCTCCCTGTGCCTGCGTGGGTTTCCTCCCACACTCCAAAGACATGCTGGTAGGTGCATTGGCTCCTGTCTAAATTGGCCCTAGTATGTGTATGAATGTGAGTTAGGGACCTTAGATTGTACACCCCTTGAGGGTTAGGGACTGATGTGAATGTACAATATATATGTAAAGCGCTGCGTAAATTGATGGCGCTATATAAGTACCTGAAATAAACTTCAGCTTGTTCAATTAAACTTTGATTAATCCTGGAAGCTGATTGGTTTCTATGCAAAGCTGCACCGATTTTGCACTCTCCAGTTTTAGTAAATCAACTTCATTTTGTTCTGCCAGTGGAAGGCTCCCTGTTGACAGAACACAATAACACTGTAGGAGGGATTCCCCCTTCAACATTGACTGTGTTAATGGGGGAATCGAGTAAATTTTCCTTCCTTCCATCCGTGGTGGAAGGAAATAAAAGTGCATAATATATGGGCTGCTCAATGCTTGCTGAGAAAACATTCCCAGCAGTGAGCAAACAAGGGCATATTATGTTTTTTCCCCCTACATGTGTTCTTTTTGTTATTTTCTTCCCACAGAGTTTCAGTAGACCTAGTCCTACATGCAAGTTCTGCTGTAAGAAAAAGTAAGCAATTAACAGGGTTTTTAAACAACTCAAAAAGCAAAGTTCTATTATTCTGTAGGTATTATTTAGAAATGTTAAATCTACCTTTTATTAGGAATTTCTCCTGAAAAAATAGCTGTGCACTTTCTGGCATGTAAGTGTACCTAGGCACCCCTGTGAATACAGTGTCATAGGTGTATATCTGCAGTGTGAGATCATCCATGGCACTACTGCCTCCGACTGTCAGTCTAATCAGATTTTGAGTGAGATTTGGTGATGTCACTACTGTGCTGCTCATTGTATTCCTTGCTGGAAAGGAAGCTGCGCCTGAGAACTTACAATGCAAGGATCTGCCTGCTTCAGTTTCATCCACATTGTGCATCCATGCTACCTCTACCTTTATCGTTACCCCACCAGCCATCAGATCATGAGCCAACAGGGAAGAAGCACTGACTTGAGAAAGCAAAGTCCTGCCAAGATGGCTGCCTCTATACAGTGCAGAACAAGTCATGGCAAGTCAGTAATGGGGAATGACCAGCTGCAGGGAGGCCACAGGCAATACTGGTGACTGGTCCTTTGGCCTCTGCTTGCCATGTTTTGGGGACAGCATCCATAGTTCAGTTCCCTCAAATATTTGATGGTTCTCCATGTCGAAATTAATGTTAAAAAGCTCCTGACAGGTGATGGCTTCCTTACTTAGACCTCTATGAACTGCGAACACTGCAAAGAGAATGCAAGAGGGATGACATTTGTGCAACTTTTTGTGTTGCAGAACTCTGCCCAGGTATAAATTGGCCGGGGCATGGACAGATACAGCCTCTTTGCCCTTATGTACAAAGTAACAGTGTAGTCACGTTATTTGTTATTTGTTTGGATACCTATTTAGCTCTGCAATGGACCTATCTGCAACAGAAGAACTATGATTCCCACAGAACACAGTGGAAACAGGACCAGAAACTGTCCGGAGATAACCCGGGATGGGGAAATTGGGAAAACATAAATCTGTCTCAGTAATTACACTGTCATAGTGAATGGAGGCTTCTCAATCAGGAGGTGATTGACGAGCTGTAGTCACACTGGAAGTGCTTATAGCTAAGAAATTCATAGATACCAACAGCCCGGGGCGATTCAGACACTCGGGGGGATTCCAGGGGAAAACAAACATTCTCAGGTGTTTTTTTCTACAAGGATGGTTATCAAAAGGTCACAGTGAAGACAAGAGGTGCCAATACTCGGACATATTTTGTTTACAGTGCCTTGAAAATGCTCCAAGGATCAGGCCCTCCTAACCCTCTTGTGTTGAACTGTATCGTTGCTGTATTGTCTCCCTTTATATTGTAAAGCGCTGAGCAAACTGTTGGCGTTTGCACCAAAATTTCAGTTGCTGAATTGTTTCGGACAAAATTAGCCTGATTGGCATTTTCCCAATATAAAAAAATGAACCGATACAGGTGCCAAAAATGTAGTTGGCCAGTGAAGTAGAGGAGATGAGAGAGACTAAGTGCCGCTGTGGCATCTTGGTTCTGCCCCGCTTGGTTCTCACCGGGGAGAGATGTGGGTCGTGTTGCCCCTCCTTTTACAGGAGGGGAAGTGCAGTAGCGCAGTGATGCTTTGGCGAATGCCCAACATTCATGATGCTTGATGGACAGAGCTGGGCTGCTTTTATGTCTACTACACAGTAAGGGGTGCAGGCTATGCATGGAACTGGTTTTAGGGGAGCAGGCTGCATTTTAGTGTCAGGGGGCACAGGCTATGCATAAAATGGGTGTCAGGTGTGCAGGCTGTGCATGGGATGAGTGTCAGGTGCGCAGGCTGTGCATAAAATGGGTGTCAGGGGTGCGCAGGCTGTGCATGGGATGTCAGGTAAGCAGGCTGTGCATGGGATGGGTGTCAGGTGCGCAGGCTGTGCATGGGATGGGTGTCAGGTACGCAGGCTGTGCATGGATGGGTGTCAGGTGCGCAGACTATGCATAAAATGGGTGTCCAGTGCAGAGGCTGTGCATGGGATGGGTGTCAGGGGTGCAGGCTGTGCATGGGATGGGTGTCAGGGGCGCAGGCTGTGCATGGGATGGGTGTCAGGGGCGCAGGCTGTGCATGGGATGGGTGTCAGGGGCACAGGCTGTGCATGGGATGGGTGTCAGGGGCGCAGGCTGTGCATGGGATGGGTGTCAGGGGTGCAGGCTGTGCATGGAATGGGTGTCAGGGGTGAAGCCTGTATATGAAATGTGTGTTAGAAGGTATTCATACCCCTTGAAATTCTCCACATTTTGTTCATGTTACAACCAAAGAGGTAAATGTATTTTATTGGCATTTTAGGTGATAGACCAACATAAAGTGGCACGTAATTGTGAATTAGAAGGAAAATGATAAATGGTTTTCAAATTTTTTTTCAACTAAATCTGTGAAAAGTGTGGCGTGCATTTGTATTCAGCCCCCAGGAGTCAATACTTTGTAGAATCACCTTTGGCTGCAATTCCAGCTGCAAGTCTTTTTGGGGATGTCTCTACCAGCTTTGCACATCTAGAGAGGGATTTTCTGCCCATTCTTCTTTACAAAATAGCTCAAGCTCTGTCAGATTGGATGGAGAGCGTCTGTGAACAGCAATTTTCAAGTCTTGCTACAGATTCTCAATTGGATTTAGGTCTGGACATTGACTGGGCCACTCTAACACATGAATATGCTTTGATGTAAACCATTCCATTATAGCTCTGGCTGGATGTTTCGGGTCGTTGTCCTGCTGGAAGGTGAACCTCCAGCCCAGTCTCAAGTCTTTTGCAGACTCTAACAGGTTTTCTTCTAAGATTGCCCTGTATTTGGCTCCACCCATCTTCCCATCAACTCTGACCAGCTTCCCTGTCTCTGCTGAAGAAAAGCACCCCCACAACATGATGCTGCCACCACCATGTTTCACGGTGGGGATGGTGTGTTCAGGGTGATGTGCAGTGTTAGTTTTCCGCCACACATAGCGTTAGGCCAAAGTTCAATTTTGGTCTCATCTGACCAGAGCACCTTCTTCCACATGGTTGCTGTGTCCCCCGCATGGCTTCACACAAACTGTAAATGGTACTTCTTATCGCTTTCTTCTTGCCACTCTTCCATAAAGGCCAGATTTGTGGAGTCCACGACTAATAGTTGTCCTGTGGATAGATTCTCCCACCGGAGCTGTGGATCTCTGCAGATCCTCCACAGTTATCATGTGCCTCTTGGCTGCTTCTCTGATTAATGCTCTCTTTTCCTGGCCTGTCAGTTTAGGTGGACGGCCATGTCTTGATAGGTTTGCAGCTGTGCCATACACTTTCCATTTTCTAATGATGGATTGAACAGTGCTCTGTGAGATGTTCAAAGCTTGGGATATTTTTTTTTATAATCTAACCCTGCTTTAAACTTATCCACAACTCTATCCCTGACCTGTCAGGTGTGTTCCTTGGGCTTCATGATGCAGTTTGTTCACTAATGTTCTCTAACAAACCTCTGAGGGTTTCACAGAAAAGCTGTATTTATACAGAGATTAAATTACTCACAGGTGGACTCTATTTACTAATTAGGTGACTTCTGAAGGCAATTGGTTCCACTAGATTTTAGTTAGGGGTATCAGAGTAAAAAGAGCTAAATATAAATGCATGCCACACTTTTCAGATATTTATTTGAAAAAATTTTGAAAACCATGTATCATTTTTCTTCCACTTCACAATTATGTGCCACTTTGTGTTGGTCTATCACATAAAATCCCAACAAAATACATTGACGTTTTTGGTTGTAACAAGACAAAATGTGGAAACTTTCAAGGGGTATGAATACTTTTTCAAGGCTCTGTAGATTTCATTCAAAATTTCCAGCTGCATGCAATGGAAAGGTTTGCCCATGGAAGGGATCAACACAGAAATGACAGGTTCACTTTAAAAGAGAAATATTGGAGCCGTCACTGCTGAAGTAATTTTGGAGGTACACGTTCAAGGGATATCCTAAACCTTGAAATACTATTTTTTTTTTACAATCAAGGACTTCTTTATTGAAACACATGAACATGTTACAATGGTAGTTCGGATGGATCAATATATTTTTTTTAATCGGCCATTGTGAAGTAGGGGCAGCACTATTTCTTAGTGGTCAGCACTTCTGCCTTGCAGCACTGGGGTCCTGAGTTCAAGTGCCAGCCAGGACACCATCTGCATGGAGTTTACATGCTTATGTGTTTCCTTCCAAACACCAAAGATATGCTTCTAATTGGTTCCTGTGTAAAACTGACCCTACAGTAACTACCTCACCATCTGCCCAACAGCAGACAAAAGCTTCCCAGAAAAAAAGAGTCCCCAGGGAGAAAAGCACTATAGCAATATAAAATTATTAACTCTACATTCCACTATCCCTCTCAAATCTTTGGCTGAAGATTACAGTCCCAAAGCTCACACCTTTAAACTCAATGTCAGCCCCTAAATTCCCATCAAGACAGAGATACTTTAAAAAAGGACCTGGCTTATCAACTTATGGAAGCCGTGCCCCAAAAAGGCAGGAAGAAGGCAAAGGACTAGTCACCAGTATTCTCTGTGATCTTCCGGTGATCTATTCCCCATTACCAATTTACCATGTCTTGTTCTGTATTGTGTCTGTGTGCAGGTTGCCATCTTGGTAGAGGTGCAGGGCTTTGCTTCCTCATGTCAGAGCTGGTGATCTAATGAGTGGTGGGGTATGATCAAGAAGCAGCAGGAGAGGTGGAGGAAGCTCATATCCACAGAATGGATGAAGCAGATGCAGGGAGATTCTTGTACTGAAGGTCCTCAGGCACAGCTTCCTCTCAAGCAAGTTGAACCGTAAACAGCACAGTAGTGGCATCACCAAATCTCCTGAGACTAGCAGAGACAGCAGTGCCCTAGGCTACATTCACATGGCTGCACAGCAGATGATCTACATATACTTTCCGCTGGCTTTAAACACTGCATGCATGTGTACAAACAGTTGCAGCAGTCAGATCTGTATCCAGTGCAAATCAATGGCCGGTGCAGCTGCTGTCTGCATGCACATAGAGCTTCCAACTGACCCAGGTACTGCTAATGTGTGTCTAGGGTTGCCGTTTCTGCAGAGTTTTGACCGCACACAAACTGGCCCCAGCTAAATCATCCAGTAAGTATGCAGCCACAGCACATAGTGCTGCTGCATTCAGAGGCAGTGTTTAGTCTTCTCTGAAGGCAACAAACTATTTTCACCCATGTGGTTGTGAGAACATACAGCAGCCTTAGATCAGTGGTCTTCAAACTGTGGCACAGGGGCCTGATGAGGCCCTTTGCTTGCTTTTATCTGGCCCTTGAGGCACTATTTCATTTAATGATACCAACAATGGGGCATAATTCTCCCCACTGACACCAATGAAGGGCACAATTCCTCCCAATGACACCAAGTATGGGAAACAATTTCTCCCAATGACACCAACAATGGTGCCCAATGATAGGGCACAATTCATCCCACTGACACAAAAAAGGGGCACAATCCTTCCAACTGACCACTTGCTGGGGGGGGGGTGTTACTCAGAAGACAGGAGGAGTCAGGGGCACCGGTGGGGGACCCCAGAAGAAGAGGATCAGGGTTGCTCTGTGTAATGCCGTTGCACAGAGCAAGGGAGTATAACATAAAAAAGATCCTTTACAATCACCTTAATGCAACCCTGTTACAACAAATACATTTTAAAACTCCTGCTACCTGTAAAGCAAGAATAATAGAATGCTGAGTACCTGTCTGATGAGAAACCAACACTTTCAGGAGTGCCGATCTCTTGGGTCTCCATGGCTCTCAGTGGTTCTTCCTGCTGATCTCGGTTTCATCACGGGATACAGTAGTAGTTTACACTTTTTTTATTTAAAGACTACAGGAGTTTCATTATGTATTTTTTAGAAAATCCAACATCAGTATAGCAACATGGGACTTTTTAGGTCCCTAAAAAAGACCCATTTTGGTATATTGGTGTTGTAATTCATGTAAAGGATATTGTTAGCCTACCTATAAAGGTCAGATACCCTCCCAAAGCTCTTTTCTCCTAAACTATAAATCGGGTAAACATAAAAGGCAAGCAAAAAAAAAAAAAAATCAAGACAAACATGAGTCCATAATTAAAAAAGCTACCCAACTCGGTTTCCTCTTGAGTAATAAATATTAAAACCTCTGCCAGTTTTTGGCTGGGTTTCTGACCCCAGTGGGGAGATTTCCCCTCACTGTCTGTACTTGAGATCAGTACTGCCTGGGAAAGGAAATGAGGCAAATGAAGACATCAAAATGAACACTGGGTTGACATAGTCCTTTACAAAATACAGTGAAGCACAATCTAAGGTCCCTACTCCAAATACATACAAATATACTAGGGCCAATCCGGACAGAAGCCGATTAAAGTAATTGTAAATCTCTGGGGTTTTTTTTAATAAAATAACAAACATGTCATACTTGCCTCTTCTGTGCAATAGTCTTGCACAGCATTACTGATCATCTTCTTTTTGGGTCACCCCACTGGTGCTCCCAGCCCCTCCTCTTCATAGGAAGCTGCTTCCCAAGGTGGCACTTGTGCGGGCTCACTAAAGAGCACCGCTGCCTGCATCCATAGAAACAGACAGTGGGGCTAGCCCTGCTCCCTCGTCACAAAGTTTAATGGACAGTAGCAGGAGTCAATGGCTCCCACTGCTATTGAACTGCCCTGTGAGGAGGGATAGAGCCAGCTTCACAGTGGGGCTCAGGTAAGTATAAGGGGCAGTTGGGTTGGATCCCAGTCACAGAAGGTTTTTACCTTATTGCATAAAAAACTTTAAGGCTGTACAACCACTTTAAACTACCAGCATGTATGAAGTATGGGTGGGAACTGCAGTACACAGAGAACATACAAACTCCACTCAGATAGTGTCCTGACCAGGGCTGAGGACCCCAGAGCTGCAAAGCAGAAGTGCTGACCACCAAGCCACTGTGCTGCCCATTGCTGGCTTTGGATAGCGAAACAAGAGAAAATCATTTGATAGCTGGATTTAGTAAAAAGTAGCTTTGTATCTCCAAATATTTTCTTGTGTTTTCAATATGCGTGGAGTCTTAAGCACTTTGGGTAGGAGCACTGTGGACTGTAAACGGTGACCCACCACAAAAACACAC